TTAGGTGGGTAAAATGAGGACCCAGATTGTTGGGGGCAAGATGCTGTCTCTGTAAACCTCATAGAGGGCTGTAAAGCACTGTGAAGTGGTATATAAGTTTAAGTGCTATTGCTATTGCTATTTCGGACTTTGGGATCAGATTGGACAAAATGATCCACCAATCAAATACTACTCAACTACTTCTGCATTCTATTACAGATCATAATAGTATTATTTCACCTCCTTTTTTGTCAGTTTCAGGGTGGCAACCCATCCAAAATTCAGCCCCCAAATGTAGTTATGGTTGTACTGTGTTGCTGAGAAAGCTGAAGCTTGCTTTGTGGCTTAATGTCCACATATTAACTGGTAAATAGAACCCAATGTACAAATCCATTAAAGAGATTCTGCCACAACCCAACCTTTAATAAGGATGGATTGCAATTCCCATCACTACTGCCAACATGTTGGACGTGGTCCCGAGTGCAATTGTGATTGCAGCAGAAACAGACTGATAAAAGCATCGCACCTCTTCCTATAATTAAACTTGTTTAGTTTTATTGTGGTTAGCAGCTATGTATTTTAGTATTTAGTATTTATTTTATTTGTCAATCACTTACAAGATACATATATGTGTGGCCCCACAAATCAATGGTGGGTAGCAGTGAGATTCCGCCTACAAGCCTATTACTCAGCTTGGTCCTACACACTTATTCCTGAGTGAGCAATCAGTTGGGACAATACAAAGAAAGAATACAAGACTGGGCCTGCCTTCCTAAGAACCCGTGGGTGTAACATGGCATTTCTGAAGCAGTTAAACTCCAAACGTAAGAAGTGTACATTTTTTCAAGGAATATAAATGAATCATTGCAGGATTTTTGAATGTGTCAATACGATGCACATATTCACTCAACTTGCCTTGGATGCTTCAATGCTAATTGTTGGGAGGTCTTCCTAGTGTGAAGTCCAAGAAGGCCTTTGAGATTACAGTACTGCAGAATCCCTTGCTTTTTTGAAAAACCGAAATTTCTCTGACTTCCTGAAGTGGCAAAGTTAAGAGATTTGGAAGGCTGACCATTTACCACTAAAATGATGACTTTTGCTGAAGAAAAGGGAGAAAAATAGTTTCTAAGTATATCTTCTCTCTCCTTACCACATTCTTTCAGTGAAGCAATTATCGCTAATCTTTTAAGTAGGAGAAAGAATGAAACTTATCTGAAATTGCATTACTTAAGAAAATTAAAACATACATTTTGAACACATTATAGTCTAAGAAATAAATGTTGTATATCAGCTATCACAATTGAATTAGCAACGTGAGAAAAAAGTTTGAATGTTGAGTTTGGTTGGTTAAACTAGCATTGGTTTACAGTCAAGCTCAGATACTGGACTATAGAAGGTGGGCAGTTCTGTTCCCATAGAAACATGATACTTATTTGAAAAGGAATGTGTAAAATGTTTAAAATTTAAATGAATATTAATTTTAACGATAGAGTTCAACTGGTATGGATTGTTGTTTTAATTATTTTATATATTTATAATTTTTTCTTTTTTAAAAATAGTGTGTAGCTTTAGAATATACTAAGCAGAATCCGAATGGAAGTTATGTATTATATTAAGTGTTAAATTTAGGGGAAAGATATAAAGGCGTCATACTCCAATCAGTGATTACAGGAGAAATTTTGTGTTAATGAGAAAAGATAATAGACAGTTGAAACAGGACAGACAAAGGATATAAGTATAATGATTTAAATTGAGATGAAATAAATAAAATAGAATTAAGAAAGTGAAAAGAGGGGAGAAGCTATATAGAAAATCTAGAATGATAATAAGATATGGAATGGTATATAAAAGTGAGCATGAACTTGAATTTATGTCTGTACGAAGAGATGTAACCCGGAATCAAGCTGCTTTCAAAAAAGATGTTTTATGTTTTTATGTTTTGTGTTTGGTTTGTATGTTTGTTTTTTAAAAAATTAATAAATTTTTTGGGGAAAAAAAGAAGGTGGGAAGTTCTCAATTTACTAATACTTTTGCTGGGTATTTTGAATGGCTGGAACGTTTTTCTAATTGAACTATTTCAACAGGCCATACAAAAGGTTCACAATGTGGATCTACAGATTATTATCTCCATCTTGCAGCCCAGGAAACAAGGCTTGGAGAAAGCTCACAATCAAGATAAAGCGTCTATCTACAATAAAATGTATTAAAACAAAAAATATTAAAACCACAAATATTAAAACCAAAACCAAATCAAAACAAAATATGTGGCACTACCATACCTACTTTCACCATACAACCCACAACAAGTCCATCTCATTAATCTCACCCTATCCCAGTGCTTGAAAGGAGAGCCTTAAGAACTTTTCAGAAGTCAGGGATATGTGTGCGTGCCAAGAATCAGGGAGAAGAGTGGTCATAAGGCAGAGCTGCCACAGAAAGACATGCTTCCTAGGTCCCATAAGATGTCAGTCTTTAAAGGAGATAACTAAGATTGTGCCACCTTATCCAATCTAGTGTCAGGTTTCCAAGTGATGAAATCCATTTTAAAAGAAAAGAACAAAGTCCATCTTCAAAAAGATTTATTTTATTTAAGAAAGCATCAAATTGGCAAAGTCCATGATAATTCCGGATCTGGCCCAACCCGGAATTACCCCACAATATTAGAAGTTAGAAACACCCCCCAAAAGTCACATTCTCCAATAGAAGTAATTCAACGTTGCTTGATGTCATAAATCTCCACCTCCAGGGGCCCAAGCATGGACAGCTCGTTTCCCGTGGGAAAGATCACCTAGCCATAACATTCTCTATCTCCACTCCTCCCCCCTTAGGAATGTGTCAAGCCCGAAACCCTTCCCCCCATGACTGCCACAGAGAAAATAAGAAAAAGAATATATACTAAGACAAACTAAAATGGCTACACTTATGTCAATTTTGGGCTTGAAATCTAGCAGGATAGGCAGATGTCCTTAAGGAAAATGCAATCCCACAAATAATCTGGAACTCTGGTCATATAGGGCTTTAACCAGTACCTTGAATAGTGCCCAGGAGGAAACCGAGAGCCAGTGCAGCTCACTCAACAAGGGCATAACATTGGCACCCTTGACTGTGCCCGCCCCATATTTAGGACTATAGGTAGTCCTCAGTTTAGATCCATAATAGACCCTGCTAATCATACTTGTTAAGTTTTGATGGTTGTAAAACAGGTCTATCATATGACATGGGACACTGCAATTGGCCATAAATATGGCTGTGGGGCTAAACGCCTGGAGTTCAGTCAGGTGACCATGGGGACCCAACCATTGGAACTTTGAATGTGGATCATAAGTAGCCCCAAGGTAGGTCCATTATGAATCTGAACAGTCGCTAAGTGACCAGTCACAAGTCAAGGACTATCTGTGATTGTAACTTCCATGTGGTCTTTAAGGGCAGCCCCATGTAGTGTGTTGCAGCAATCCAAGAGCAGTAATAATCAAGCAGTATAAAGCAGCTTCCTCACACAACAGATATTTGGAATGATAGGAAGCAGAGGTTAGTAGATATGCTACGCTTGTCTCCTATAAACTGCGATTCTGGCCTCAGGCATAGCCGAGATGCTTTTCTTGAGAATATTTGACTGTCTATCCCTTAGTTGGATGCCAAAATGGCTTAAGCTAGCTGTATGGACAATTCTATAAAATGCTAGCATGCATAATTGTAGCACAACCTAGAATCGGGGAACCTGGAAGTCTATGGGAGGATCAAAGGGGAGCAGATAACAAAAGCAGTATGTCTCGTGAGACAAACTCTGCCCTGTTTGGACACACTTTGTGATGTTGCACATGGGTGAAAGGAGTGGAGTTTGTATTTCTCTGGCCTCTCAACATTTTGATGAAACTATTGGAGCCTCTGGATATCCCTGACCTTGCACACGAGATGTTGCTGATGGACAATCCACACCATTCTTCACCATTGGCAATGTATTCCCTGAGGTTGCGGAGTTACAGTTCACCAACTTCTGAAAGGCCAGTTCCCTTCTAGCAGAAGCATGGATTTGTGAGCAAATCTCTTGATGGTGTAAGGGACGTTAGATTCAGCTATTTTCTATGGGTTTTGTGTGTGCGTGTGTGTGTATGTATATGTGTATATACATACTTGTATTTTTAAAATAGTTTCACACACACACACATTACCAATTAAAGCAATTATTTTTTTAGTCTTTCATACACCTGAAGAATTGTGTTTTTAAAAGTATTAAATGAGAAGGTACATGCTGTTAGATATGCATGCTCATTGACCAGATAAAAATGCCAGGAGGTGAGAATTTTTAATGTATTATGAAAGATCAGAATAAGTTCATAGGAATAAAGAAAAATTAAATCAAATTGGAATGTGTTCATTTCTGCAGACAGGACCCTAGATTTTCTAGAAAGAATATCTAATAAAAGCTATACAATCTAATCTGTAATGTTAAGACTGAAAAGTGGTTTTTAGGGAACCTTTTGTCAGTAAAATGTACATAGAATGCTAAATGAGCTTGCTGTAAATCAAGCAATGGCAATTTAAAATATAATTGTATCCATATTAAAAAGCCAGTAATCTAAATTATACCTATCAAATACTTTAAAGAAGTTTTCATTAATTCAGGCTATGATTAAGAAACATTGTGGACTGGATATTGGAAATGTGACTGCATATATGTGCATGTTACCAACAGCCAGGGAAATCTAGTAACATGTTCTTAATTTTTTTGTTTCTTTCATCAAAGCTGCATTATAATACCAATATTGAAACAAACAGTTCCATTTACCAGAAAATAGAATTTCTAAGATTCATCAATCTGGATATTGTAAGCAAATTGCTGTTCATTTGGGGGGGTGGGGTGTCATTTGGCAATTTAAATAAGCACCCCCATGAAATAGTGTTGCAAATTGCTGTTTGATGAAGGACATCAATTGTCTTCAATGATATTCTGCAATTCCTGAAACGTATGCAAATTGGTTCATTTAACCATTAAAAAAATAGACAAGGAAAAAGTTCACCAAAGCAATTTTTATTTTATAATCAACAAGGCACAAAAAAATTCAGAAAATAAGAATACAAATGCAGACAAACATGGATCACACTTCCTTTACCCTCCCCCCCAGATCTCTTTAATTACTACACCATCACCGTCAAAAAGTTTAAAAACAAGACATTTGGCTCTATTGCCATCAACTGATCTCTTCATTTTTAATTTCTACAAAGAACCTATCAACTTCAAAGGGTGAAAGGCTTTTTTTAAAATACAATCAAGTGGCTTCTAGAAAGTGGGATTATCATTCTCATCACCTTCAATCAGCTTGCTCAGGTGGAAAAATAACTTTAGTCCAACTCATCTGGAAGGCATTAGGTAGGGGAAGGCTGACTCAGCCTTTTCATATGTGCGTTCAGAGAAGCGCATGTTGAACTTATAACACACACTTCCTCCTGGAAGATAAATTTGAGGTTGAGGGAAGTGAGATTGCAGACAGGTCTCCATGTGCTTTCTGACTTTATAGACTTGAGTGGAGGGTTCTGAATATTTTAATCAAGTTCTTATTTCTATAATAGTATACATCAAATAGTAAAGAGTTGAGTGTTGGATTCCAACATTGCACTAATCCACAATATTGTTAGCTATGATTGGTTGAATACACTACAAATGTCTGGTTTCACAGATCACACTTAGCCATTTACCTACCGTTTACAAAGCACAATGGCTGTTCTCACAGACCACACAAAGACATAAATAAGCAAATCATGTAATAATGTAAAACAATGTGTGAACATAGTTACCATACTAAGCTGCTTAGGCCTGCTTTCATAGAAATAAACATGGCTCTATTCAATATACTGCAAATTTAAAACAAAACAAGAAAGCAAAGTAAACAGTCTATGTTTGGGGCATGAAATGATTTGCTCAACTGTTAAAAAAAGCAAATATCTCATTTTTAAAAATATCATAACTACATTAGGTCAATACAACTAAAAAGAAAGTTCTCTATTACATCACATTTTATTGGCTTTTATTGAACAAATGTCCTATTGGTAGTTATGTGTGCTTATTCTCCTGTTATTACTACTATACCTTGTGATATCACTAATATTGAGCAGTATATTTGGAAACATGGACATATATTAATGTCATTAATTCACACAATAATGAAACTGGCCATCTGAAGTCAAATGTAGTGTTTTGATCCATTAAATGCACATTCTTATTGGAATATATTTTGTCATCAAATGGTACAACTCAATTAAAAAAACATTTGCTTTAAAAAAACAAGTTTTCTTGCTGCAAAATAAGATGTGCTGATGTTTCTATCACTAAGCCTTTCCCCACAAATCAAATTAGATAATTACTAAAACATGTTTTACATTGAGCCCAATTGAAGAATGACAAGGTTCACCTCACACAACATTAACAACTTCAACATGGTATGTGGAATGATTCTGTAACTGCTAATATGTAGATCACAATCTTCGAATAATGAGGAGCAATATTGCATTATAGAAGATTAACAAGAATATGCGGCACTTCCATTACCAACACATACACCCCTGCACAACAAATCGACTGTAGGCAAATTCAGTTTTTTCTAAACCCAAGTAATCTTTCCAACTTAGTGCCCCCCAGAAATACTGGATTATGACTGCTATCATACACTAGGTTGGGGAAGATTGAACAAAATCTTATTTAATTGCATTAATATAACTTCAGAATTTATGTGCCCTGAATAGAGAGATCTTCTTATGCAAAACTAGATGTCATACTGGTAGCATATTTAATGTGCAGGAGCCTGGAATAGAAATGGATGTTACTTCACTACTGTGGACCAAATGGGGCACCATCATTCATACAAATGAAACCCTCCTTAAATAAATAATTACCCCAATTCTTCATTCATAGAAAACAAAATGTATCGGTTTGTGATAGGCAGGATATGATATATGAATGAAATCAATAAGATTGGTAAAGTTGATCCTATATCCTCCTCTACTAGTGGAATCCACTATTCCTCTTTTACTGATTATTACACAGCATGTAAATTCATTGGATTGCTTTTCTGGCATTATATTTATCGGAGATATTCCAACTTTTAAAGGGATTTTTTTTTTAAAGGAATGTTCAAAAACTGGTGACAACATTTGAAGTGTTATGCCACTCTTAATCTGAATGTCTACTCAAGCAATTTCCATGGTATGAATTTTTGTTTATTTCTTCCTTCCCTGTTTAGTTTATAGTATGAAACAATATTGTGTTTCTTCATCTCCCTAAATAGCAGACAAGCATACAGTGTAAATAAATACATTACAGATAGACATTCCTGAAGTCTCTGAGAATGTTATACACTGAGCATAAAATGCCTGTTATAATACAGTCAGCTCTTTTAAATGCTATATTCCTATAACATTTTATGGAATTGCTTTTTTTCCCCACTTTAAAAAATAAACATGTCAAACCTGCGGTTTAAGTGTCTTACACTATGTTCCCTCCCTGCACCTTTCTCTACCCATGACCCAAAGTAAGGTGTTTTTTTTTTTTAAAAAAATGAACTTGTAACTATTGAAAGTAGATACTGACATTTCAAGTAAAAATAATGGCAGCCACCTCTACTCAACATAATACATATTTTGACACTTGTTTAAAAACATTACGTTACTCACACGTATAATACATTCTTAAATAACAAGGCCCCACAGTATTACTTTGTGAGCCTTTCCCATGTAGAGGTCCCCTTTCTCAGGTTTGCACCCACTGCTTGTGCTGCAGTTTCACTTGTCTCTCAGCTCCTCACTTAGCGACTGTTCCAGTTCTTAGGCTTTGGCTATGAAATCCCTTTTTTTCAATGAGGCAACGCTGGTTATTAAGGCTTGATTTGTTTTCCATTCAAAGCTTTATTTGGAAAGAACTATTTTCCAACAGCAGAATGTCTATCTTGTATCTTCTGGCTCGGTTTTTATGACCTTCCGATCAAAGTTGTTGAAAGCCGAGTGAGGAAAATCTTTCAAAATACCAAGACCTTCTACAATAACAACAAAAGAAAATTAGTATTGTTGAAAAACAGTACAAATGGCCAATGTAACCAATGGCTAGTATATAAAACCATATAAGGTAGCATCTTATTTACTACACTGTAGTAGTGAAAAAAATGGAAGCTTATTAAAACCACCATGGTGAAGATACTTTGAGGGAAAAGGAGCAGAAACCTCTATGATCAAAGGGGTCACAGCACATTCTTAGAATCAGTGACCCTCAAAACATAGGCTTCAGGTCTTTGGAGAAACAAGCCCTGGTAGTGAAAACTGCAAATATCCAAACTTCTAACTTGGGGTCTTAAAATGGTTGGAAAGATTACAATGATAGTGAGATGTAAAGATGACAGTTCCAGATTCCTCCATAACCAGAGGCAGCTTAAGTTGTCTCATACTTTGTATTAAAAAAAAACAACAACTTTATTTATCCATTCCATTTATTTTTATAATTGCCCATCTCACATATATGACTCTGGGCAGCTCACAACCACCACCAAAATGCCATAAGCAAATGGCAAATAAAGAACAAATAAAACATAACTATATTAAAACAACTATAATCTGAAGCTAAGATAAACACAATACTACAAGTCAGATTTTCTGAGCTCTAAGCCTAGCTCCAATGGCATCAATTGAAGCAACATTTTAACAACTATTCAAAATAAAGTCAATCTTTCTACTCTCCATTAAGAGTTAACTAACCCTGTCTTGCTGGTTCTAACTTTCAAGAGTTATTTTGCTAGTGCATTTTCAATGCATGTAATGCTAGAAAAAGCAATCTTTTGAAAACAGTAGCATTGATATTGGATTTTTTAAGGTATGAAGCACCAGCAGATATAGGTATCTATTTGCTAACACTGGCAAACAAGGTCTGTCAATTAACAAAATATATACACTGTGCTGTCTAGCACAGCTGCCTGCTGGGCATAAAGGAAATCAGGGACAGTTCCTTCTAAATTCAGATAACATGGTCATCTGATACTGAGCATACAATAGCTCTTATATTTAAGGCTTGGAAATGCTTTTCTATACCTGCTAACATTTACTTAAACAAACCGAGTGAATGGTAAGGATGTCAGTTATAATATGCCTTTCCTTTCAGTACAGCCACTGATGCAAGTATGGGATGGAATCTTATAGTTCTGGAATTCCACACATTTTCCTGTTAAAAAGCTGACTCTGAGCATGCTAAGTATCAGTGGATGTGACATTACTTAGGTACTTATCAATCAGGTACAAAACTTCATTAAGCTACACAAGATTGTGGGAAAGAGACCTCTCTCACCACATGGATGGCAGTTAAATGGGAGTTGCAGTCCCAATCCAAACAAATCTAGCTATTTATAGGTTAATTAATTAATCAACATACACTTCCCAGAATATTCAAGATACAGCGTGAAGGAGAAAAAAAAATCCTTACCTGGCAATTGTGATTTTGCCTCACCACCAGCATATTGTCGGCTCAGATCACTGCAAAGGGATTTCACTCCAGGAGCTTCTCCATCTAATGAAATGTGTGACATGTGTCTGTTTGATAGACCTGATATACGGAGATTTAAAGGCCTTTCACCTAAAAGATATCAGCACAGATATAAATCACATGCATGTTATAACAGACATGGACCAACTCTACCTTCTAAGAGACAAGCCCACTGTAAAAAGTATCACATAGATATTATTTACACAAGTAATTTTTTTCTGCTTGCTTCTTTACAATGTAAGCCTTTCATCCATATGGTATGTTTGGCTCCAAACCACATTTTCAGTCATTTCATGATTCCATAGTTATCAAAAGCATGGGACCCACAAATCACCTGAAGCATTTGGGAGTAGGATGTGTGTATAAACACACAAAATAGGAACAACTGTGATTACTTTGCCTCCACAGCATTGTGAATAAATTAAATCATAAACTTCAGGAAACTTGTTTTTCCTAAGGCAAAGGTTGGACATAGGAAAGTCATTTGCGGTCTCTGAATCACCCTAAAAACTCCTTAAACCTCAGCAAATTTAATTCTCCATATGAAAGTATTTGTATACTGTATGAAATAATACTGTTATTGTCAGGAAAATAGGAGGTATTAGGCATGTTTGCTATCTTGAATTTTAAATAAAATGGTGGGATAATAGTAGTACCAATAGTAATGGGCATAGAAAGTCTGGATCTTGAATACCATTCATTGGCATTGACAAAAATCATTGTCAATCAATTGCAAAAGGCAGCTTTACTTGGAGTAGCTTACATCCTGGGAAAATATCCTTCACATCATGAAATAATTTCTGCCAATCCCAGGTTCTTGGGAAGGACTTGACAGGTGGATAAAAATGCCAAGTCCACTTTTAACTCTTCAATCAACCACAATCATCATCATCATCATCATCATAGTAACACTATCACATCAACCTCAAAATGCTAATTGTAAAAGAAACGTATTATGGCAAATACATGCCTGGAAAAGCAACACAGTACCTTGTCCATCCAGAGGATCTGGCGTCAGTCCATTGGGACTGCTTTCTTCTGAACTTTGCCTATAAAGACCTGTAGAGAGTCGTCTTTCCAAGCCAGCTTGGTTGCAAAGGAACTCCATTTGTTTGGCCATCATCTTTTCAGGCTGAAATGAACCAGAGATGTAGGCACATAGCAGAATGACTATACTGTACCACCAGCCCAACAAAAATAGTGAGCCTAAAAAACAGCACAGTCATGGCCAAGCTCTTTGAAAGATTAACAAGTAGCAGTGGAGACAGAATCTCTGCTGAGGATCTCCAAAACCAAGAGGAATCAAGGAATAAGCTCCAAAAGTTAGAACACGCAACCACTTTCAAACCTCCCTTTTGGTATCTCATAAACCTGTTAAAACAATGCTGTTTTTTTGCCATGCTTTTAACCAGGATTAAATGTTCCTAGAGGTCACCTGCCATGAATTGGTTGAATGTTAGTTGAATTTCTTTTCTGTTTCTATTCTCCCATTTTTACTGGGGAAGTGGGTTGAGGATTGAGAGAAAGTGACTAGGCCAAAGCCACCCAGCTGGCTTTGTGGTACTGGCACTGATAATTTCCCGGTTTCTAACCTTGTGCTTTAACCACTACATCAAAATGGCTTTACTTTGTTGCGTGTTACTTAAACTCTTCAGATTGGGGCGGGATACAAAACCTGTGAAGTTAAGAAGCAGCCATATGATAACTCTAAGTATATGCTATTGCACTAAAAAGATGCTTGTGCAATGAATTTAATAATAATAATCATAGGAAGTAAAACAAATAATAACTGAGCATCTAGAACAGTACAAAAATAACAAAATTTTCTTGCACTGAAGTTTGTTACAAAAAAAACCCCAGCTCCTACAAGTATTTTAAAAAATGCTCATACAGGTAGTCCTCAATTTAAGAGCACAATTGTGCCTAAAATTTATGTTGCTAAGTGAGAAATTTATTATTAAGTGAGTTTTGCCCCATTTTACAACTTTTCTTGCCACATTTGTTAAGTGAACCATTGCAGTTGTTGAATGAGTGACATGGATGTTAAGCAAATCTAGTTTCCCCTTTGAGTTTGTTTGTCACAAAAGGTGTTTGTGTGACCCGGGACACTACAACCGTCATAAATGTGACTCAGTTGTCAAGCATCCAAAATGTAAATCATATGACTACAGGGATGCTTTAACGATAATAACTGAAAAATGGTCATAAGTCATTTTTTTCAGTGCCGGTGTAACTTCAAACGGTCACTAACTGAACTGTCCTAAGTCGAGAATTACCTGTACTGTAGTATTAAATAAAAGCATCAGCACATTGGAAGAAACAAGCCAACTAATGGAATAGCATGACCACAGTTGTAACTGAATACTTTGGGTGCAAAATCAAACACGTGGGGTGGGTGGGGAAATCAAGCAGTGCACCACCAAAAGATCAGATTGGAAAACGTGATCAAGATGCTAAGGTCAGATGCAAGCAAGCAGGAACAGATGAAAGAAAAACTGAAGAATAAGAGGATCAAAGATTATCCAATCAAGAAATATCACCTAGAGATAAAATCAAGGGAACTCTGGAAATAATAAAGCAGCAAATAACAGCCATAGCCAAGAAAATCAGCAGATTGCACACTCAAGGCAGAATCTCAAATTTCAGTTGAATTGGAAATGTTTCTACGAATTCAACAACTGAGAGTGCAATAAATCAACCAACACCTGACAGAGAAGGAACAATGCAATTGTTTGTGCAGCTGAGCCCAAACAGCTGAGGGACAAGAGATCAGCTCCTAATCAACAAGATGATTTTGTTAAACTTTAATAGAAGGAAGAAGGGGTGGGATTCAACCGGTGTTACTACTAGTTCGGTGATTATGTTTTGCATGCGCATGCACACTTCGTGCACCTGTAAAAATCCTTAAGCGGTGCCGCTGAAAAGTGCTGCACGCAAGTGCGCAGCGTTTGAAAAGCCACTTTTTTCCTGCTTTTTCAACCTCAGCTGTGCCGCGCAAAGCAGCTGAGGTCGAAAAAGTAGGAAATAAAGGACAGGTAAGAGCCCGGGCAGGCAGGTGGGCCAAACAGCAGCAAACACCGAACTGGTTCGGTGTTTGCTGCTCTTCAGAGCTACTGGTTCTATAGAGCTGGGCAAACGGTAGCATCCCACCCGATTCGACTCCCTGCCACATGACTGGATAATCACATGCTAAGAAGTTAACAGGAGTCAGCAGAAACATCAGAAGTTTCGTGCAAAGTTCAGTAACACCATGGATCAATGATGATAGACTGGAAGAGGCTAACATTAATAAAGGAATTTTTTTTTAAAGGCTCACTATCACTATTGTTTGTAGTTATACTGATTCCTCTGTCAACAATATTGAACAATTCATGGCCTGGCTATGAAACATCAAAAACATCCGCTAGGTTACCTCCCCTCCTTTACACAGAAGATCCAAAATTGCATGGAAAAACAGTATCTGAAATGGAATTGCTGCTTAAAATTGTCCAAATATATAGCCAATATACCACAGTGGATTTTGGACTACAGAAAAGTACCACCCTTCCCATCAATAGAAGAAAATGGTGAAAACAGAAGGAATTAGGATGTCTTACGGAAATAACATCAACAGTGTGGATGAAGAAGATCACTACAAATATCTTGGCATTCTTCAAGCTAGCAACTGGGTGACCGTGAGAGTTCTAGTGTTGCCTGAGGCATGAAGCCAGCTAGGTGACTTGGAGCTAATCCTTTTCTCTCAGTCCTAGGAAGCAGGCAATGATAAAAACCACCTCTGAAAAACCTTGCTAAGAAAATTGTAGGGACTTATCTAGGCAGTTGCCAGGAGTTGGCAATGATTTGACAGCACAAAATAAATTAATAATAACACCACCACCACAGACTTAACAATTGTTGAAAAGAAAGTCAAATCGTCTGGATGGTGTATGCTAGAGCATCGAAAGACAGCAGAAGAGAAGAGAAGAGGACTGGATAAAATAACAAAATACAAAGATCTGCAAATAGAATTACTGTGTCAAGAAAAAGCAAAGATAGTATAATAGCAATAGGCACTTTGGCTGTAACTCAACAACATCTGGAGCACCACTTGAACACCACTGGCATTGATAAAATTCTCATCGGTCAATTACAAAAGGCAATTTTACTTGGAACAGCTTACATCCTGGGACAATATCTTTAATATGATTGAACAACCTCTGCCTATCCCAATTCCTTGGGAAGGGTTTGATAAATGGACAATAATGCCAAATCCAATCTAAACATCTAGCTGGCTGTGTGACCAAATCATCATGACAAGAACAACAATAATGATGATGTAAAATGAGATGCAACATTAAATCCCACATAAATGACAAATAAAACTGAAGAGATAAAATTCTTGGAAAATTAAATTAATTTGATGGCACTGAAAAGACAACCAGGGAGGAGAGGTCAGAAACTTTTCCTTGGAGATGCCCTAGATTTAATTATGAAAATAATAAAGGCAGAATAAAAATAAGTAAATAAATAAAATTCCACAACAGAGAAGTCTATACCAGCAGTGCGATCCTAACTGTTCCATTACTGATTCAGCAATCGTGCACATAACACACATGCACCTAATGCACGCGCAGCTTTCCCCACACCCGCTGAGGCCTGCAGTGCCAATCAGCTGAGAGAATAAAGAAGAGAAAGGCGCAGGGATGGATGGGAGGGCCAATCCTGCGCCTTTCTCTTCTTTCTCCTCCTCTCAGCTGATGTGGGAGGCTTTTTTTACTACCGGTTTGGCTAAACTGGTCCGAACCGGTAGCATACCACTACTGGTCTATACCAAAAGGAACTTTTCATTGCTAGCACCTGTTCAACCTCACCTACAAAGGCATTTGAAAAAATGCCTTCATGTGATCTGAAGTCATAGCTATGAATGGGAGGAAAAGAATCCTTCAAACACAAAGCTCTAAAGGGGACTGAGGAGCAGTAAGACAAGTTGTCTGCAGTAGCTTTCTGGAGTATCACACACAGTAGTTCTTGCAAGTAGAAATGACCAAGGCATGCATTTTTGAGGCAAACTGCTTATTAATTAGGGAATCGTGGACCTGTCAAAGGTGCTAAAAAGTTATTTAATCCCCAGAAGCCATTTAAAACCAATGAGCAAGCATCCCACCAAATAACAAGACCCTTAGGTCTTCAAACTTGGCAAGTTTAAAACTTGTGGACTTCAACTCCCAGAATTCTCGAGCTAACATGACTAGAGGAGGGATTCTGGGAGTTGAAGTCCACAAGTCTTAAAGCTGTCAAGTTTGAAGACCTCTGCTTTAAGGTATTGTGTACATGTGCATGCATGCATACACTTTCAAGTCAGTTTTGACTCTTGGCAACCGCCTTTCAGTTTTCTTGGCATTATTTTTCAGAAGTGGTTTGCTATTGCATCCTTTCTAGGGCTGAGACAAAGTGAATGGCCCAAAGTCATCAGGCTGACTCTCTGTGCCTAAGACAGAACTAAAACTCATGGTCTCTGGCCTGCTGCCTTAACAACTACAACAAACTGGCTCTTTTGGGGAAATTATGAAAGCCAAAATCCAAAATATATTGAAGAGATCAGGTAATCGAATGAAAATTGTTAATTGTTCTCAATTAATGTTGACTATTCTCTCAAAACTGATCAGATTGTCCCTTTGCCCTCCTAAAAGCATTCCCCTCTCTCTTTTTAAAGTACCATAAAACCTGAGTAGATACTGCTTAGACATACTATAAGGTAACCTTTATGTTGTCATTTTTTTTTAACCATGAGGCACATTGGCACACATTAAAAATGAAATTCTGGTGCCTGCTCTCAAAAATGTACACATACATACATACACACATCCTGATGGGGTATATCCATCCTTACACTTCTGAAAATCCATCAATAAGCATCATTATTTTTCTTAATAGAATATGCCACATTAGCATAATAGTCTATACTGATTCTAAAGCACCTGAGGTTTATCTAAATGTAGTTTTGTTTCTAAAAATATGGCCGGTATAATTCATGACATAATTTTTATGTTCTTTAAATAATTATTTTAATCAGATGCTGTTACTGCTCTTGAAATATTCTCTCTCTGTGTATATATACACATGATAATTTCAAAAGGATCATTGGATTTTAAT